AAATGTTTTGAAGAGCATGCAAATGTTGGGGATATGTCGGCGAAATACTGGCAAGGTTATTATTATTTAGAAGGAAGATACGTTGAAAAAAATTTCGCAAAGGCCAAAGAATTATTTAGAGAATCGGCGGATGGTGGAAATGCTGACGCTCAATTACGTTACGCTTTTTGTTTGATTGATAAGGACAACAATGAACAGGTTGATCATGATACCTTTTTAAAATATTTGAAAATGTCGGCTGATAATGAAAATTCTACTGCTCTTTATAATCTTGGTGAATTATATTTAAATGGTAGGATGGGTTTTGAAAAGGATCAGCAAAAGGGCATTCAATATTTAAAATTGGCTGCTTTCAAAGGACAATCAAAAGCAAAAGAGATTTTGAAACAATATGATAGTTAAATCACCTTATAAATTGTATTTTTTATATATTAAATAGATTTTATTTTTACCTTATAAATGAATAATAATAAATATGATCGAAATTAAATTTCGATTTTCGGGCAAAAAACAATAAAAAAACACATTCCTTACGCATAACATCAAAGCTGGCTCGCGTCACGTGTTTTCCAAGCTCTTGCACATTTTTTTTTTTAATTGATCTAAAAAAAAAAAAAATAAAAAGGCAATTTTTATTGAATGAATAATCGTAAAAATACCTAAAGGAAAAAGAGAATAATAATGGCTTATTTATTTTATTTTAAATTTTTAATAAATAAACTTACCAAAGGATCGTCTAAGAAAAAGGCATATTTTTTAATTTATTTTTTTAAGAAAAAACATCACCATTTGAAATCAAGGAACCATCACTTCCGGAGCATGTTATTAAATAATTGTTGCTACCCCTATGACTTAAAGTGATCCATCAATCTTAGCGGTGAAGGTAATCCTAAGCGGTCTAGTAATCCCAATACCAGGGTAATGATAGAAGGTGTGTGCTTCAGTGGTGGACTTTTGGCCGCGGTCAAGGCCAAATGAACAAATCGGCAAAATCGGCCAAAGCAGAAATAATAATCATTAATAGGGCAAATATTCAGTTGGCATTTGGCCGCGGCCAAGAATTTTTGGCCATTTGGCCATGGTCGACGGCCATTCCTCCGGCAAAATGATTAAAATGACAACACTGATTTAAATATAACGTCACTCGGCTTTATCATCGAGAATTATAGCAGGAGTATATAACATGAATTGATATCCTAATATACCGTGGTTCCACTTACATCATGAAGCAGCCTAACTGATTTCTTTGTTCATGTTAACGGTTTGGTTTCAGGCAGTCAGCCAGACCGTAGATCGAGCTAATCATTTATGAATCGGTTGTAACTGAAATTTAAACCGAAAAATTTAAATCAAATTATTAATTATTATTCATAAAAATTTATTTCATAAAATCCAAGATTATTAGTTATATTACCGTAATGTTCTTTCTCATCATGAACTCTGATAAAAAAATTACCACACATCTGAAATACGAGTTTTTAAATTTGTGAGAGTTTCCTCCAAAGAATCAGAGGTAACGTCTAAATTAATAAATTCGTAGTTGTAGTCAAACAACGATGTAAATTAAAAAAAAATTCTTATTACAGTTAGACGCGTAAAAAACGCGTGGAAAAAATCATTTAATAATCTATTTAACGGCCTTATAATCAAGATCGGTCCGAACCGTCTTACGTTAGATCGTTAACGTCTCTACCTCCCTGTCACTTTTATTTGAAAGGCTCGATAGATTTATTTTTTTTTTTAGATTTAAAAGTAATAATAATGAACAAACGTTTTTATTCAACTTTAGAAGATATCCAACTAATCACGAGTATACCACCAACAAAAAACGTAAAAATCACGCGTCATATAGCATCACAATATGAAAATAAATACATTCGACCCCCTATCTAGTCACCTACTATATAGTCACTCCTCCCTTATAAGCACATTTTGTTATGCCAAAGTTTAATAATAAACTTATTAAAATTCTATAGTCACATTATATAACTTTTTTATAATCACACCAAATTTTTTTTGTCCCGAGGGGTGTGACTATATAGGGGTCAACTGTACTTCAAAGTTGAAAGACATCAGATTCTCCCACTAATAAAGAAATTGAACAAACATTAATGATTTAAATAACATTGGAATGGAAAAATGTAAATTCATAATTATATCATATCATAAATCAAATGAAAATTCAAATATAAAAAGATCAAAAGCCTTCCGTTAAAACTTTTATTAATAAATTTTGTTTCTTTTGAACTTTTCATGAAAACTGTTTGAATACTTGGTTGTATTCTAAGAAATTCTTTTTCGCTTTGTAATGATTATGTTTTTGTCCGTACTTTTAAAGATCTTAAAAAAACCCACGAAGTTTGTGTATATAATGTCGTAATTCTGTGATTGTTACGCAAACTTCAGTTTAATATGAAATCGAAATTTTTAATACTTTTTTTTTAAAATCGAGAAGAAAATTTTACGTGTTCTTTCCTTAATATTTTGAAAATGACGAGTTCATCATCGGAAAAATCCAATATTTTAAGTTTATTGACTTAAGACAAAATGTACAATGCTTTCATAATTTAGGCGGCATAAAGATTTTTGTTCATCGCTAAACGCTGGGCTTGACTAATAAATATAAACTTTCAAAGTTCAAAGTAAACAATATTAAATCGACAAATTTGATACATTTATTTGTAATAAATGATTATACAATGTTCAATTCAAAATAAATAAATAAATATATACATATGTACATATATAATACAGGTTTTACATGAAAATATTTAATCCTCAATCTCATCACTAATAATTAAAGTAATTTGATTAATTAAATTAATCTTGTAAAATAATAAAAAAAGGAAAGGAATAAAACATACCTATCGTATGGATCAAAGAAATTACATTCAATTTGTTCTTGTGAAATACAATCAACGTCCTTCATCTCAATTCGATTAGATTTATGTTGAAGAAAAATCGGACCACAATTATATTCGCTGGTGGAAAATAAACTAATATATTTTGGTTTTATAGAATTATCAAGTTCGATATATGGTTTTTGCTCAAAATGAAGTGTACCGTAATTCTTGGGGTGATGATTTAAAATTGCAAGTGTATAAAAATTGAATTTAGGTAAACAATCGAAATGTTTCTTATCCGAGCAGTAAGAAAATGTGAACGTTCCAATTCGATCTCCTTCCTGATCATCGAAAAAATGATGTCCAATGACGAGAGACCTATTAGAAGAATCCAATCTGTCTATTACAGGAATTCCGATACAAGGAATTTTTTTGTTTAATGAATCATCATCATGTTCCAAATTTAAATATTCCTTATAATACATGACTTGTGCGTTGTCATTAAAATCCGTTTCAATGATTTTCAATTGAACATCAAAATCGGTAAGGATCAAATTTAAATCTTTATAATAACCAATAACCATCCATCCGATCTTTAATTTGCATTTACGCTTTTTAACCCCCTTTTGAATACAATGAATAATAAGTCTTGGATCTGCACCCGGCGAATGAAGGACCTGACAGTTAAAAAAATCATCATTTGAATTATAAAAATCACTACCTTTATCAACGACCGTTGCAAAGATGTTGCAATCAGTTTCCTTGTCTTGAATCATCTCTGAAATAAATTCCGGCATATTTAATTCAATGATTTTAGGATATCCAATTTCTTCGAGTTGAAAATCTCGGTCCTCAATGATTGAATAAAGAATTCTTTTCCCTAAAAATGAAATGATTTGTTTACGCAAATTATCAGGTAAAAGTTGAAAAATTCCAATCGGGTTTTGAAATTCTATGCAATCCCAATTTCTAAAATCCTTTAAAGATTTAATCCAATCTTTTTCATTAAAGTCTTTAAGGCTGACGGGTTGTTTTCCTCCAATCAATTTAAAACATTCAGATCGACATGATTCTCTATAATAAGCTCTTCCACCCAAGATGATTTTAGTTGGAACGAATTGACCAAATTTCTCAGTAATATGTTTAAATTTCATAGCTTCTTTAGAATTTAAGGCATCTTCCACCGCTTTAATGAACTCTGAAGTTGGTTCTAAACGATCACAAAGTTCTAAGGATACCTTACCAAACTCTGTAAAACGATAGGAATGATTTTGTTCATTTTTTGATCTTTCATCAGATGTTTCCAAATTTATGAAATCATGTACATAATTATCGCTACTAAAAAATAAATTTTCAATCATGACACGTTCTTCAACTGATTGAATTACAACTTTTCGATGATCACATCCTATAGCACCAATTTTAATCATTTCACAATCCTTCATTACAAAAGCTCTCTCATCAGCGATCTTAATTCCATCAAAAGTCGTGGTTCGACCAAAATCTAATTTACACAAATCATTTAAATCTTTCCAATCATAAGTCGAACTTTTTATTAAATATAAAGAAATAATTTGATTATCAACCATTTCAATAATCTCACTTAACCTAACATTACCCTCCTCCTCACGACTGATTTCGACAGATTCAGTTAAATCAGTTTCCTTAACATCGAGTTTTCGTGAAAATGAAAACGGATTCTTCTTAAAAAAGCTATTATTCTCTTGTAGTGTAATGCGAATTTTTGATAATTCATCATTAATATTCAAATTAAAATTGATCGATGTGGAGGATTCGGAGAGAGCGTAATTTACTATGATATCTCTAAAATCATTCTCCTTAAAGAAATCAAATTTATATTCAAACATTTTTAAGGAAAGAATATATAAATGGATCGTCGTTTTTATTCCTTTATTTTATAAAAAAAAAAATGATAGGTGACACGTTCGTTGATATTCAACCAATCATACATCACATCGATGACAAATAAGTCGTGACCGGTAGGTTTTGCATAATAAAAAAAAAAAAGTGTGAAAGAGGGGAGGGAACGACATGAGTCACGTGAACGTCAAACATTGTTCTTGTTTTGGAGAAAAGTGTGACCCATATGATTTACCACATGACCGTCTTTGATTCTTATTTGGGAATCCCATATAAAGATCTCTCGCACAAACAAATTTTTTTTTCAAATAATTCTTTTCTCAATCAAAATGCCTCAACAATCACAGTTTACTGCGGAAATTGCTGCGGCAGGTCGAACAATTGAGCAACAAATGGTTCAAAAGCTCAAGTTGAATCATGGTTTGTACTCGGATGGGCGTAGCATACAACCAAGCAACGAAGCTATTTTTACCGATGATGGCGGATTGGACATCATCTTATATAAAGGGGAACCAATAGTTTACACGAATATAAACGATCCCAAATCACCCACAAATTTGTTCGCATTCAACAATGATGTTGATGGAGTTAAATCACATTTACAACATTTCGATGCTTGTATTAATTTTCCAATCGCTGAATTCTCTTATAGAGGTGAATTGTTGAAAAAATTTTCGAAATTTTCGAATGAAGACGACGAACAATCATTTGGCCACGCATTCGCAAGGAAAGTTTTGGTCGGTGGTAAATTATTTATCAAGAACTTTAATTTAGCTAGCACAAAACAAATAGATACCTTACAATCCCATTTCACCGGAACATATAATTCGATCAAACATAATAAAGAAAATCCATTTAGTTATATCGAATGGCGTAATTTACCGAAGGTAGTAACGTCAAATGGGCAAGTGATCAAAACCCAGCGAAATTTAGTCACATGGATGAGTAATCTGTATCATAAGAATATGTTTGATATCATTTCTTATAACGATATCATTCCCGTTCAAAAATTAAGATCTAATAAATTTTCAGCAGATGACGTTAAAATTCCTAAAGAAATACAACCCGGGGTTGCTAATTTTGGGGAAAAATTAAGTTTTAAGAGGTGGGCGGAGCACGCCTATTTATTTCTTCAACTTCAAGGGTTAACATTTAATAAGGTTTATAAGAATTATGAAGCGGATATTAGCAAGAAGGTTGCCTTTAAGTTCATCGATATTCCTGTAATAAATTCAATTAAAAAATCTTATTTGAAACTTTTAAAGCCGTCAACGAATTTAGAACAATTTTTCATATCTAATAATATTAACGTTCCGGCTAAAGGTGCAAGATCTTTTCCGTTCATTAAAAAATATTTGTTCGATAATCTTGGTAACAAGGACAATGTTCGTTTGGTAGTAAAATGTGAACGATATGAAATTCTCATAAATAAGGCTCATATCAAGCTCGCAAAGGGATTTGAAGAATCTATAGATAAAGCAATTAATAGCATAGAACCATATAATTCTTTACAAGATACCTTTGATGAATTTGGGCATTTATTTCCACAGAGAATCGTCTTGGGAAGATCGTTTCATAGCACTTTACCAGATCTTTCATCTGATACGTTTGATGAGATTAGTTTGGATTCCGAATCCTTAAAGACGCAATTAGATCATTTAAACGTGTCATATCTTTTAACGCAAGATGGAGGCGTTATCGATGTTGATGATGACGTTGAATTATTTAATCGGATTCAAGATACGAAATCCGATTTAGAAATCATTGAATATGATCAGATCATCCCAATGTATGATCTCCTTAGGGTTAAATCCAAACATTTTAATGAATTAGATGAATTATTAAGTATGCAAAATGAAATTAAAATCTTAATGACAGGAATCACCGACCTGAAAGATTTAAGTGATGATAATACTGAACATTTTAAACGTGTAAATATCGAACCATCTCTGAAAGGTAGAAATTATGAAGTTTATGGTTCGATTATTTCGGGAGATGAGAAATTGGAAGATTGTTGTATTAATTTTGGGATGCGTGATTTTAATGGTTTTTCCGCAATTATAAAAACTTTCCATCTTACTTATATTAGTATATCGGAATGTCGTATGTTATGGATGATTGTCGGAATTCCTTCGGAAATGTCGGTTTTTAGTCCAAATAATCGAGATTTTAAAGTGGATTTCATTAAATCCCCAATTATCATCAAACCAGAAAGATCTTTTTATTGTAAGATCAACACTAAACATGAATTGAGAGAAGGGGATAAGATTTTTATCAATTCGGATCATTCAACAACAAACTATGGTCCTAATAATATGTTTCAGTTGGTCGGTTGGGAACGTCACGCTTTCGATGTTCAGGTCACGAATTTCACTTATGATAGATCAAGATTTTTTAAACTTGATTTAATTATATGTATCATATATTATCATGGTAGGTTATTAAGTATCGATAATAACGAGGAGAGATTTTCTTTAAAGTCAATCGGGTATACTACGACCAGAGAAAACTGCAACCCTGATATTGAGGTGAAGAAAAAGGTTCCTCTTGCGGACAAAGGTTTCGAGGATTTTCAAATGATTGCTTCAATAGGTAATTTGTTTAAACTTTTTTTTTTTTGGTCTTTCTAATAACGCCAACTGTGAAAATGAATTTATCATTAACCTATAACCTGCTAATGGAAAAGATATTGGAACCACGTACTCGGGATTTGGATACACAAGTAGGACAAATAGGGAGATCATCATAAATGAAATTTGGCCGGATCGAAGCAAATCACCAAAGACCGATACCATGTCACTTCATAATGTTTGTAATTATGATTTTGCTTCTACGGAGTATTCCAAATGTGATAATATTGCAGATATATGGAGTTGTTTTTATAAATTGTTTGGATTAGGTATGCCTACGATTATAATATTTGTGCAATTTCTAATATCAATAAACGTGAAATAATTTTTTTTTCTTGTAGTCGGGTCAACCTTAAATTCAGACATGGACATTAAAATCATGTTTTCGGTTCCTTCAAAATGTTCTTATCGAACAAAGGATGTTATACTTAACATGTCTTTAGAAGAAAGAACAATTCAAACAATTTCAGAAAGTAGGGTAAAACAAAAATATATATATGCGTGTATATATATCATTGTGATTATTACCGATGCTTTATTCATATCAAACCGTCAATTGTAAATAGGTGAAGCAGCGGCTATATATTGCATGAACAAGATAAGAGAAGAAAACTTATCGGTTAAACCAATGTGTCAGTATATGTTACGTAACGTATTATGCAATAGATGTATTAATTCATGTTAATATTTTTAATTTTACTTATTCAATTTATCTAGCGCAATTTTTGGTTGTTAATTGTGGAGGTGTTTCAGTGGAGTTGACTCTGAGACAACTTTTACCAGACAACAAATTGGCAGAAAAATTCTTGGGTTCTAGTGGAAATTGTGGATCAATCTACGTGGATAGAAAATTACTCGTATACGTCTCAAAAAAAATTGGTCTGGATGCTTTGGATCTACTTCAAACCAAACATCATGAACAATTACGATCATTGATTCGGCGATGTCAAGAAATAAAACATTCATTTACTGGAAACAAGGATGATGATAATATTTTTGAAATTAACCTTGAAAAGATTTGTCCTGACATCAAAAAATACGCTGTTGGAACATGTAAGGATGAATTGGAAAAGAATAATTGGATTATAAAATTCCGTTATGATAACGTCAAAAAAATTTTTGATCCCATCATTAAACAAATCATTCTATTAATTCATGAACAACTAACTTTTAGTGATAATTGTTCTACAATCTTTTTGGTAGGAGGTTTTAGTGAATCGATGTATTTACAAAATTGTATTAAACAAGAATTTAAGTATTTAGTTTCAAACGTTTTTGTGCCAAATCAACCGATTACTGCGGTACTAAGAGGAGCGCTTGAGTACGCATTAAATCCCAATTCAATTGCTACAAGAATCATCAACATGACTTATGGTATTAAGCAAGATGGAGTATTTAAGAGGATAGTCAAAATAGGTACCGAAGCACATGAGAATCAAGAATTTGAATTGGAACTATCGCTAATTCAGGAAAATCGGTTAAGATTTCCAATTGATCTATACACTTCATCTCTAAGGAATCCTAAATTTTGCGAGGATGATGGTGTTGATTTGATCGCGAATATTAAAATAAGTGCTCCAAAATCTTGGTACGACAAGTTATACCTAGTGTTGATATTTGATCAAAGTGAAATTCGCGTTTACGTAAAAAATCAATATGGAAGGTATATAACAGCTGGTTTGGAATATTTGAACCATTAAATTATATTATTCAAGTGTATTTATTTCTATACGTTGAATTTTTCAAAGTATTTCTCATTGTAATAAAATCCCACCTTATTTAAAGACTGAAATTAATATTGCAATTTTACCGAAGATTTCTAATATAATTAACAATATAGTGAAATTTCAAAAATCTTTTCATTGGTTCATTCTTTAGCAATTTTATTACATTAATAAATGGTCTTCCTAAATAAATGAAACGGTGTGGTGTCATGTGAAGATGGAGAGATGTTTAACGCAAATCTCTTCACGACATGCAAACTTTGCTAATTAAGAATGTGATTTTTTTTTGTAAATAATTAATTGTATCTCATCTGCATATTCTAATAATAAAATCTTTACTTATGTCCATAAGGAATTCCTTACAAATATTATCTATCTATGATTGTTTCATTGTTAATTAACCATCATGCTTATAACGAAACTTTGATCTGATGATTCGCGACCGTTATAAATAAAAAGCAATGTTAAGATTGTTAGCGCTCCTGTTTCTAAATTATGATGCTTAACGTTTAAATCATCATTAACTCCACTTCCGCTCGATTATCTAATTCAGAATAGAAATAAATTTTCCGGCAAATCTCTTTTCTATTTGGAGATGAGTTGTTGGTGGACCATATTATGCGATGCAATTTTTTACAATATTCTGGATATTATAAATTTCTTTTCCTTGCAAGATAGATGCTCTTCTCTATCAAAGTTTTTACTTGGCTGGATGCATTGAAAGTGATTATTTAAACATTATTAGTTCAAGTTTAAATATTGTCTAGTGGTAAAATTATAGAACGAATCCCATTTCACATTTTTTTTGGTAGTTTTTTACTACAAAGCACTATATCATATTTATTATTTATTTTTAATTTTAAACTTTATTACAATTAGTAAAATATTTTATATATAATAATATTTTGTATCATTTAAATAATTTGTATATGTAAAAAAAAAATAAGTTTCTATACTTACAAAATACTTATAAATAATTATAATACAGATTTTTTATTCAATATTCTATTAAAATTATATTTAATTATCTTAATTTTTTATTATTAAGTTAAAGAATAATTTTTATTTAACGTTAATAACTAAGTTATATAAACGCATTATTTTTTTAAAATAATATATTAAAATCATTTAAGATAAAATTATATAATATACATATAAAAAAATTGCTAAAAAATCAGATTTAAAAAATTTTTTAACTAAAACAAGATCTTATCACATTTTTATCAAATAATTTTAAAAATTAATATATAACAAAAATTAAAATTTTGTTAAAAAACTGATTTTTCTAGCAACTTTTTCTTATATATAATTTATTTTTAATACTGTAATATTTTAAGTATATAATTAAAAATTTTAATATGATCAGAAAAACTAGATATATATTTTTTATTACTTTTTATCTTTTTTCACTGTTTATATTCTTATACTTCTAACTTATTTTTCTTAGTTCATTTAGTAAATTTATATTATTCTACTTATAAAACTTAAAAAATAAATTTATTCTTTCAACTGTTTTACCTACAATTTTGTAGGCAATTTTATTATTAATTACAATCATTTTTAATTATTTTTAAATATTTAAAATTTATTATTAAAAAATTAATACTATTATAATAAATTTTATAATATTTTCCATATAAAAATTAAAATATAAATGTAATTAACGAGTGATTTTTTAAGATAAATAAATAATAAATTATTATAAAAAATTAAAATTTTAAACTCATATATCTTACTATCTATCAATTTCAGAAATATATAAATTCTACTATTTAATAGATCTTAATATGATGAATCCAATAAACTAAATTTTATATTTTTATAATTATTTTTTTAAAAAGATGTGGTAATACTCATATTTATTATAAAAATTCAAATTCAGTAGGTTAATACATGAAAATTTTAAAAATCAGATACAAAAAGTAAAAAAATAAATTAAACTGCCTAAAACATCTTTACAAGTTAAAAACTTACTAACTTCAGACTAACTGATTATCTTGTTATACTTCAAAATAATTATTAATAGAATTTTCATTAATGCACAATAATTAGATTATTACTACGCTCTCTTTTTTACTTAAAAATAATTCCTATCCTAAATTTAAATTCAATATAAAAACAAGTATCTTGAATTATTATTAAATTAAAAAAGAAGCTAATAAAAAAATCTGATTTTAACAAGTTCCTAGCTAAGTTATCTGATTAATTTCTGGTTATAATTACCTTTCAATATAAGTGCGTTTATATCACTAAGTTCTATTAGAAGCTCTTTAATACTCTTAATCTTCCATATTAAAATATCTGTTAATTTAGATTATAATCACTAGTAGGCATTGCATGGATTTCAAATTACACAGTTGTGAGAAACTGAAAAATCTTATTAAGATAGGCAAGCTCTATAACATCAGAAATCTAAAAAAAGTGTGCTTATTTAGAAAGATAATGAAAAAATTATCACGTATAATTAGTTAATCTAAAGTTATTATTGATTCTAATTGACATTTAGGATATTTTCTAATGCTCACTTTTGTGAACAAAAAGAAAAAGAAGAAAAAATGGAAAAATCAGCTATAAAAAGTAGCAAACAAAATATTTTAACAAAAAAACATTATCATTTGGACTAACAAAACCTGTTTTTTGGAATAAGAGGGTTTAGAGAGAATTAAGAGAGAAAGAAATATGAAAAGAAAGTTTATTTTTATTCATAAGCTAAGTTGTGATTGCCCTTAAACATATATATTTTTTACGTAAAATTCTTGGTTGAGTGATCACCAGAAAGATTTATTATAATTTTGTATATTTTTGTAATTATTAAATAATAAATTATTTTTAAAAATTAAAAAATTGAAAAATTAATATATATTGATAATTATGAATTTAAAAGTTTAAAAATATTACTATTAGATATATTATAATATGATAAATTTAAAATTTTTATTTTATTTTTTTATAATCATTAGATATCAAAATATTTTAATTCTAAAATATTTTAAAAATAATTTTATACTTACAGTTTAAGAAATAATACATTTGACTAAAAGTTTAATAATATATATTTATATAAATAATATAAATTAAAAAATTATAAAAAATTTTAAAATAATAAAATTATTAATTTTAACCTATATTTAATGAAATTATTTTAAATATTCTTTTATAATAATTATATAAAATTTTTGCAATTATTAATGTTAAATTTATTTATCTTTAAAAATTACATTTTTTTTTTTTAATTATTACTTAGAAAACATTATAAAATTTATTATAAAAGTATTTAATTTTTTAATAATATATTTTAAATATTTAAAAATAATTAAAAATGATTTCAATTAATAAATAAAATTGCCTGCAAATTTGTAAGCAAAAATAATTAAAGGAATAAAGAAATATCCCACTACTACCACCTTAAAAAAATATCATTATAATATATAAAGGCTTATATTATAAAGGTTATCATAGATCTTAATAATAAAGAATTTATAGCTAATCTTCATTTATCTTGAGTCTATACATTGGGAATCTTTTATTTTAAAGCATTTAATTTTGAGAGATCTCTAACTTAGACTACAAAATGTAACACAAAAGAATTTCATGGAACACAAAAAATTTTTATATTGTACGACATTTTTTATCAAACCACTTTAAATGCACCCTTGGGTTCATAAAAGAGGATGTACTTTTAATGAGAAAAATTTTATATATGCGCATTTAGAGAGGTTTGACTATCGATCCGTAAAACTCGTGACATTATGAATTTCCGGACAATAAATGCCTTTTTGTAATTGATTCGTGGCTAAGATAACATGTGAAGTGATATGCTGAGTTTTTTTTTCTTTTCAAAAAAACGCCGCATAATTAAAGCCACAAACCAGATTTTATGAATTTTTAAAAAATTCATTGCGCCATTTAATTTGAAAGATTTCAAGATAACAACAAATGTTTTATTACGATAAATAGGAAATGTTTTAAAAGTTTCATTGCTAAATAGGGCAATTGTGAACGGGTCTCGGAAGAAGTTTACCTTATCAGATACATGCTTCCTCTTTTTCTTTTTTTTTTTTTCCTCAAACGAGTAAAATAAAAAAGTCCATTAAAAGATTCAATTGACGCTTAAAACAATTTTTTTTTAATTTCACAAATCCAAAAAATAATGTCATTAAAAGCCTCAAACAAATTTTTCATTTTCTCTTTAATCATAAATAAAATAATATCTTCACCAAACGTTCAGTCCCTTACTGATATAAATGTCGAAACGAGTTTATTTGGTCAACCAACTATGAATTTTTTGGATAAGAATTCAAAATATTTGCCAGTGAACAGTATCGCAAGAAATTTTCAAAAGGATAATGAAGCAAACTCATTAAAAGCGTTGATAATCAAGCGTTCAAGTCCGAACACTGTTACGTCGGACTTGAAAATGGAGATATTTTCGGAGTTGGATTATAGAAAGGACGCGTTCAAATCCGAAAAACGTTTCGTCGGGCTGGATAATGGGGATATAGTGGATTTGTCGAAGAGATACGTTCAAGTCCGAACACTGTTTCGTCGGGCTTGAAAATGGAAATAGTGTTGGAGTTGTATTCTTGAAAGGACTCGTTCAAGTCCGTAGGTTTGTTGAAGGAGTTGTTCAGACCGAACACTGTTTTCGTCGGGCAAGTAGTATTTGCGACGGCCTACTGAAAATTTATGGGGATATTGTTGAAGGAGTTGGATTATTGAAAGAACGTGTTCAAAGTCCGAACACTGTGGGCTTGTTAATGGAAGAATTGTTGGAGTTAGGGCACGTTCAAGTCCGAACACTGTTTCGTCGGACTTGACAATTTATTCTTGTAGAAAATGGATTGGTTGAAGGGATGCGTTCAGGTCCGAACACAGTTCGCGGAGTGTTCGTCAAAAAAACTTATGGGGCACTTTTCAGATAGATTTATGATGTAGATGAAAATGGCGAAACTTTATTTCGATTATTTGAAACACCTAAAGAAAAAGAAGATTTAATTATAAATGCAGTTCAATCATATTGGAGTCATATCCATAATGATTTATATTTTTTTGAAATTTTTATCAATTCATATAAATTGTATTAGTTTTATTAATTATATTAGGCTTATCTATTAAATTAGAAATATAATTATTAGGAAAGAATTTATACATATGAACCAATTGGAACATGTCAAGTAAACCTTAAATAAAATAATAAAATAATTCTTTAACTACAGTATAAACCTTCTTCGTGTCTTCATATAAGATGTTTTGTGATCATAAAATTCTTTTCAACGGATTGAATGTTGAGTTAAGAGATTAACAAGTCTATCGTTAACGTCGTGTAGTAATTAATGTGATACATATGTTAACTTTATCTTATAAATAAAAAAATAAAGTTCATTAAAATACGCGTTATAATCAAATACTTTTCACGAAAAACAAGAAATAACAGTTGACAAATTATTAGAGAATCAGACCCTTACCCTTTTGCTGCTTTATCAAATGCAATTAATGTTTTGGATTAGAAGAAAACATTCCAACCGAAGAAATTTTAAATAATGAAGATGATGAAAATTAATTCAAGAGGAGGCCCGTAGCGATGAAAATCGTGATGACGATTTCTGATGAAGTGGCAATGCTTGTTTCTTTTAATGATGCACTCAAGTCCTTAAAAATTTGGATGGCCTTTTTTGAACAACCATCACCAGATGAATTTGATGTTTAAGATATGCACGTGCTTAGAAATACTTTAATATTGTACAACGGCTTGGACCTAGAAAGCGAAGGTTCATATAATAATGTTAATAATGAATATACACAGTTTAATACATGTTTTAATTTAAATAACTATTATATAACGGTTAATAAAATAACTCTTACATAAACTTTAAGTTTTACATAATCACTTCATATGATTTATATATAAGATTGACCCCTATATAATCATTATTAACCGAACTGACCTGGTGATTATAGAGTATTTATTTCCAATTCTTCGTTAATTATGTCCAATCGGAATAGAATTTAAACCAATTTCAATTTTTATTATCGTATTAGCAACTTCTCGGTTAAGAACTTATTGGCAATGATCTTTCGTAACAGATATTAATGCTGCTTATTTTAACAATTCAGCAACTTCGACAAGTTGATCCTCACAAATGCATTTTTTTTGCATTCATCCTTTTGAAATAAAATGCATGTTATACGACGATGTCTAGGTAAGTTCACGTGATTTATCTAAAAATGGTTATCGAAATTTCCTAAAACACGTTCGAAATAAAAATAATTTGACCCGACTTTTTTTTTGTACGTGTCTGTTCAAAACTATTGAATTTACTTCTACTCTGATGTTTTTTTTTTAAACAAAATTTTTTCTGCAATGTTTGATTAAGTAGGAAAGAATAGCTAGGTAATTCGGTATTTTGGTTTGGGAGACATGGCTAGGTTATTGAGGCTATATATAGGCTTATTTGCTATGTTAAGAATTTAAACCAGTCTGTTATACAGGTTCTCTATCCAATGGATACTATTTCCTATAATGATGCAAAAGCATAAATTTATAATTGTGGAAACACAGGATTTGTTGATTAAATTCTTCGTACGTGATCGTCGCTTGCTTGATAGAAATACTTAATTGAATTATTCCTTTTATAGTAATTTTAAAGGAACGAAGCAAGCTTCTTGCTTTTCAACAAATTATGCTTTCACTGCGAGAGAGAAGTTATTAAAGAGATTTGGTAGAAATTTATCAATTGAAGGATCGATTATATAATGACCCGAGTGGAATATAGTTCATTCGATAAATATATACTTTCAAAAGGATGCTTGCTAAGATTTCTAATAAATTTGAATACTCGCATCAAAATGATTTAAGAATTTTAAGAATCGATTTTATTAATAATAATGTTTAAATACCTACAGAGATATCTAAAAGTTATTTTAATCCGTATGCTTGAGACGTAATTGTGCGTGGTCAATCTTCTGCACATAAATAATAACTTCATCTCGATGTTGACTCCTTTCTATGAATGTCGCATGATTATATAGTTATAATGCATAAAATAGAAATATAGAACGTATCGTTAGTGATTCGTTTCGAAAATTTACAGGATCAGATACGTCTTACAATTTAAAAATGATGTTTTTAGAGATACAAAAAAAAAAAAAATAGCACCTTGCTACGAAATCTGGGGACATTTTTTTCTTAAACATAAGAAACACATCATTTCTTCAAATCCTACCAAGGCTGGTGGTTCAAATACGAAAAAGGTTTTAGTAAAATATAACCTTCGGATTTATTACCGAACCCTACGAATTTAAAACGTTGTCACGGGATTAATTTACACGCAATAATCAACAATGGGGGGATTCCAATCATTGTATTTCACGTTACTTTAGAATTTGATGACAAGCATTATTTAAATGAGAAAGGCAAAGGGGCTGATTTATAATTTGATTTTCAAACAACTAGAAAATGTGATTTGAAATTTTGCCTATTTTGCCGAATAAACTGATTTTAAATATTTTTTTATTGATTCCTTTAACCAACTATAGTTAAAGTTGAACATAATTTATCAGTAACTTGCATGTTAAGAAAGAGGTAGCCTTAAATGTATCTAATGAACATTCTAATAGACGTCCAAGCAATTCTATAACTGACAATTAAGTTTGTCTAAAAAAAAAAATGATTTAAAAATTTAAATCAACATTAATGTGTAGAACATTTTGTTTGAATATTTCTTTGGCCAAGAGAACTTATTTATCTCGTAAACATTTGCCATCGCGAATCTTTGAAAGTGAAATTCGTCTTGTAACATAAAAGTCAAATCACGTGATATCGTACCACTTTTTAAAGTCGTTTGTTTTATTATTTTTTTTCCTTTTGTTGATAAAATCTAAATTAAAATGAAAATGAAAACGAAAAAGATTACAATAATATATTGCAGTTATGGGGCTTCGTCAATGGAAACGCACCATCTTGCAAGATCAATGAAATAAGTAAGTTGGTGCGTTTCTATTTGATGAAGCCTCATCTTTGCGCATTTCAAACTCAGACATGTGTGGCATTAGCTCATGTAATAATATACCTTTTAAATTATTCGTAACTTGATTGATTATAAATCAATAATATGATTTTGCGTCATGATCAGGTAACCATATAATTGTGTATTTTTTTTCTGTTTTTTCTCCCCTATTTTCTCTTTTTCCCTTAAAGAGATATATTTTCATAAAAAAAAAAAAAAAAAAAAAAAAATTAAAATCATTTTAATGAGCCTTTAACTTTGAGAAACGAGGTTTCTAAAAAAAAAACAAGTAGGTGATTATTTGATCAATTTAATTTTTTTTTAAAAATAAAAAATGATTCTTACGGCAATCAAAAGTAAATATAAAAAAGTTTGAAACGATCAATAAATTTATCATTAACAACATTTTTTTTTTTTTTTTAATAAAAAAAATTACCATTTATCACTAAATTTTTCATTTTTTCGCGTTCTCTTAAAACTTTTTAACCGTCATTACTTCATTGGAATTTGAATATTCTTTTCGTGTCAACCTCATACTTTAGATTAAAAGTAAGTATAACAATCTTCTCCATTTTGTATTAACCGCAAAAATAGTATTCAGGTGATAAAAGTTTTATCAATCATTATTTTCATTAGAAATGTCGACAAATTCCAAGTCTTCACTTGACACACCTCTCAAATCCCTTGTTCAAGAGAAAGAAGTGCGTGATGACAACGTTGATTCCAGAACTTCCAATTCCTTGAACAAGATAATACTTACTCCCATCACACCATCTAATAATTTCCTGTCACTCCACAACATTTGCAATATAATTCAACAATCTCCTATTGAATCGCAAAGATCAACAAATGGATCCATTTCAAGAAAAGAGGATATAAAAAAATCGGAACCATTAGGAAATGCGCATAATTTCAACGTACATACTTCTATTTCGACAGCAAGTACGGAAGATCATAAATTTATTAATGATGATGATAACACTCATCGTAAGGAAGAACGAGAAACGAAATCAAGCTATCCATTAAATTGGCAAGAAGATACGAAAGAAGTTTATAGCCATACTTTTGGTTCCATGATTACGCACAATGATTCTCGTGTTAAACCATTGGAACCAATGGCGGCAGCAGCAACACGGTGTTCAAATCCATTATGCTTACAATGCCGATTCGTTCAACATAATCTGTCACAAATTCAATCAACATCCAACTATCCGTCAACATCCGGTATCCCTTTTCATTACTATTTGGCTCTGCCAAATCCGCAGGCATCTTTTTATCTTCCTTCATCCGCGTATAAGCCGACACAATTACAGCCACAACTTCCGCAGGGACATAAGCAAAAGAATGAACATACAAGTACTGCTGAAGAAAAAACAATATGTAACGAGTGTATTACTCAAATGAATGTTCAGTCTCAAAAGAGGCGACGTAGAAAGGTCAAAGCGATGGTATACTCAGTAGATGAATCAACGATCAGATCTGGAGAGATTTGTTGTTGTTCAAATTGTGGTGTGAGTGAATCCCCTGCCTGGAGAAGAGACCTTCAAGGCGATGCTTTGCTTTGTAATGCATGCGGATTATAGTAATTATTAAATTTTGGATTATTTATGTAATTTTTTTTTATATATATATACGTCATAAATTAATCTTTATTACTGTATATAATCCAGCCTTAAGGTTAAAGGACGTCCTCGACCTTTTGAAATTGGTACGGATGGTGAAATTCGATTGGCGAGATCCGGCAGAATTGGTGTTGGACAAAAATGTCAGAATTGTGGTACATCCGAAACTCCATGTTGGAGAGGACCTGTAGATGGAAAATTATGTAATCGATGTGGTCTTTTTTTTAGACAACATGGTTATCATCGTCCTAGAACTACTAAATTTACTAGATCTAGATCGATTAGGTGATCGACATACTTTTAGTAATTTTTGACTTGCAGATAAAAGGTTGAATAAAGTTTACACTTTTTTGCAAAAACCAATTTCATCCTTAAACATTCATCTATTATCAATTTTAACATCGATCGTTTCGCAATAGTCTTATTAAGATATTTTTAGAAGGTTTTGGTATGAAATAATGGGAATGTAAATAGTTCATGTTTCCTATATTTAAAGATGAGGTGACCGTGAATCAAAGAAAGAAATAAATCTAATAGTATTTATGGTTTGTTTTCGGTATAGAAATCTAATTTGATACTTAAACTAGTTGGATTCGTTATGTCATGACTACGCATCGAAATAGATAACGAAACGCCTTGAAGGTTAAAATTGACGAAATTGTAAATATCGTACTTTCGGAACTCGTCGACAAGTGAACATAAAAGGTTGTAACACAACTCATTGGATTCATTGGATTCTTCATGATGAAAAGCGATGAGTGGTAATATATACGTGCCTTTAACATTGTTAGATGGAATGTTATTAGTAACTTTTCAATTCATTTAGTTATCTATTAATCCCAGAATATGAATTTACTATCTCATGTACGAACCTAATGAGTCTTTCTACAATCAAATTAACTTACGTCTTGAATTAGATTCGTCCAATCATTTTAGGCCAGTATTGACATTTGGTCACGGTCAACCTCCGACAAAATGGCCATATGCCAACACTGCTTTCTTTAATTATAAATAAAATTTCATGGAAATGAAGTTTAGTAATATATTCATTTCAAAATGTGTATCTAAATAATTTCATACGATCCAATGTAATTTTTTTTAAAAAAAAAGGATTTTGTGTAACATACACGTATTTAGCCTTGGACATTTTATTAATGTCTAACGAATATGTGGGAGGATTTCTAGGAAAAGCAGGTTCCGAGTTGTTGATGACTAAAATTAAGATTGAAATGCATTTAAATCTAATACATCAAAACCTAAATGCAACAAAATCTTAAAAAGTTCCCGGTACCTGATTTTCCTAGCAATCAACTCATACTTAGTTTTACGACAAAAAAAAAAAAAAAATCGAGTATCCTTTTGGTACTTTTGTTAAGATCTTTTCATTTATTAGATTAATTAGTGTAGAACAATAAATCACGACAACGATGTGAATTTTCGATTTTTTTATAATGATTAATTTTTTTTTTTTTTTTTTTTAATTTTTTTGTTCACAATAAATTTTCATACCCTACACCAATGGTTGTCGTATTACATAATTTCTGTATAATCTATAAATACCGAACAACTGGAGTCAAAATTATGAAAAATAAGCTTTCAAATCCTTTTTTCAACTATCCCAATCGCGAACAAAGTCCTTGTAGTACTTAACCGTATCATAGTATCCTCAAGATGATGGTTTCGATTGGTTTTGGATCTTGGCGATAAGAGAATAGCGTTCTTTATTGCGATAAGAAGACGTGAACTATCAAAATGTGATATAATTATGGTTATTTCTGTTTTTTCAAAATTTTTTCATTTTTCTAATTCTCTACTAACATCTATTGTTTTTCAAATTAAAACTTCTTCTTCTGATGTGAACTAAAAATATTTTGATTTAAAACATTTGTTTAACTATCAAATGTCAACGTAACTCTAACAACATCAGCTTTTAGTTTTTATTTCAATTTATTTTGAAGTGATTTCGATTCTTCATTTAAAATTCATCATTCTAAAGCTTTATATGATGAAATATTTAAAATTAGATTTAAAAAATAAAAAGTTTTTGAACTTTATTTTCAATCTATTGTAAAGAAAATCTATAGATTTAATTATTAATTTTCAAAAATACATTGATCACCCTTTGAAAGTGGTAAAGATATAAGTGATTTAGAAAATAAAAGAATCAAGTTGGCTAATTAATATATTAGACTATTACCTATAAATTATAATTGTTAATATTAATATATAAATTATTAAAATAAATATACATACTTGCTTGTGAATTAGAACTATATGTTAAATTGTTGTATTCTCTACATAATCTTTTTTTTTAAAATTGAAATCTTTTCATTATTGTTAAATTCATCATTTTCTTCTCCTAATTCTGATTCAAAAATTAGCAAACTGTTGAGAAAATTTATTTTTAAAATTATTGCAATTTATTAAATGAATATTAGAGATTAGAACTGGTTTTATTTCACAAATCAGTTTTAATTACTTTTAATTTGAGATTCAAATTTAAACAGAATTTAAATAAGCATCAAAAAATATATAAATTTAAAAATTTAAATTTCATTATATAAAAATTTTTAAAAAAAATTAATCTTTGATTGTATATGATATATATAATTTATTTTTAAATAAAATATTTAAAATATATGAGTATTTTTAAGAAAATCAAGTTTCTGATAATTTTAAAATTTTAAAAAAAAGACGATTAAAAAATTTGTAAATAAATTAACCAATTAAAATTATTACTATTTTAATTAAAATCTATTATAATTCATATTTAATGTATTGTAAATCTATTTTAAAATTTATTTAAAATTACATCTTTTAAAGTAAAGTAATTCTTAATTTTTAATTTAATATGCTATTGCTAATAAAATCAATCTCTAAGTATTATTATACGAATTATATGAAACAGTATTTTTATTTATATATTGCTAATAAAATCAAATTATATTCTGATAACTAAAAAATTATTATACATAAAAAATAAGAAACAAAGGTTTATATTATTATTAAAATATTTCATTTGTATTTTATAAAAACAATCTTATAAATATTTTTAGAATCAGATCTATTTATTAAAAATTAATTCTAATTGTACAATAATTTTAGTTTAATAGAAATTTTTTTAAAATCTAAAAGAAAATACTAAAACTAATTTAATTAATCTTTTTATAGTTATTGAATATATTAATTATATTTTTTTTAACAATCTAAATTTAATCATTTTTTTTTATATTTTTAAACTTGAATTTTGTTAAGTCTTAATTTTTCCTTTTGCATTAAACTCTATATTTAAAGTTGATAAAAATTTATTTCCTAAAATATTTTATTATACACAAAGAATATTAGGCATATTTTATTAAATAAGTTTCAAAATATCAATTCTATTCAAGAAAAAATGATTAAATCAATTCTAAAGTAAAAATAAAATTACTAAATATAATTTTTTTTTAGAAATATTATTAATATTATTTTCTTTATTTTTAGATAATGAAAACCTTAAAAATATTCTTGTAAGTTTATTAGAAATTCTTTTTAGTATTGATTTCAGAAATATTATTAATGTTTTTTTTTCTTTTTTGTAAAAAATAAATTCTAGAAGTCTAAGAAATGACCTTATTTTATAAGTCTATTAAAGAAGAATTTTTTTAGCATTAACTTAAGAAATATTATTAATATAATTTTTTCTTTATTTTTTAGAAAATAGATATCTTTATAAGTTCATTAGAAAGGATATTTTTAGCATTAACTATAGAAATATTATTAATATTTCTTTTTTCTATTTTTGTAAAAAACAGATTCTAAAAGTCTTAGAAATGATCTTATAAATTTATTAGAAGAGGGTTTTTTTTAATATTTACTTAAAAAATATTATTAATATTTTTTTTTCTTTATTTTATAAGTAATAGAGATTTTAAAAACATCTTTATAAGTTTATTAAAACATTATTTTAGCTTTGGCTTTAAAAATATTATTAAAATTTCTTTTTTTTTTTATAAGAAACAGATTTTAGAAGTCTTAAAAATGATTTTATAAGTCTATTAGGAAAGGATTTTTTCAGTATTGACTTAAAAATATTATTAATATTTCTTTAATTCTTTATTTTTTAGATAATAAAAGTCTTAAAAATATTCTTGTAAATTTATTAGGAAGATTCTTTTTAACATTAATTTCAGAAAATTTATTAACTATTTTTTAATAGAAAATAAATTTTAAAAGCTTTGAAAATAATTTTATAAGTTTATTGAAAAAGAATTTTTTTTTAGTATTGATTTAAATATTATTAATATTATTTTTTCTTTATTTTTTAGGAAACAAAGGTTATAGAAATATTCTCATAAATTCATTAGAGGTGTTCTATTAGTAGTAATTTTAGAAACATTATTAATATTTCTTTTTTTATAGGAAATGAACTTTAGAAGTCTTAGAAATAACTTTATTAGTTTATTAAAGAAGAGTTTTTTTAGTATTGACTTAAAAAATATTATAAACTTTTCTTTTTTCTTTATTTTGTAAAAAATGAAGATCTTGAAAATGATTTTATAAGTTCATTAAAGAGGTTTTTTTTTGATATTAACTTAAAAAACATTATTAAATTTTTTTTTATTTATAAAGAATAAAGGTCTTAGAAATATTCTCTTAAGTTTATTAAAGAAGAATTCTTTTTAAAAAAACATTATTAATATTTCTTTTTTCTTTTTTATAGAAATAGACTCTAGAAACTTTGAAAATAATCTTATAAATTTATTAAAAAAGGATTTTATTTAGTATTAATTTAAGAAAATTTATTAACGTTTAATTTTCTTTATTTTATAAGAAACAAAGATCTTGTAAACATCCTTGTAAGTTTATTAGAAAGGATCTTTTTAGCATTGATTTAAAAAAATTATTAATTGTTTTTTTTCTATATTTTTATAGAAAATGAATTTGAAAATAATCTTATAAGATCTTTAGAAAAGGTTTCTTTAGAATGCTTATTAAATATTATTTATAAGTCTATTAGAGAAGAGTTCTTTTTTGCATTAATTTCAGAAATATTATTAACATTTCTTTTTTAGAAAATAAAAACCTTAGAAATGTCTTTATAAGTCTATTAGAGAGATTTTATTTTAACATTAACTTAAGAAATATTATTAATTATTTTTATTTTATTTTGTAGAAAATAAACTTAAAAATGATCTTATAAAGTCATTAAGAAACAGTTTTATAAAGCCTAAAAAATAATCTTGTAAAAATATTTCTTTTAGCATTAATTTCAAAAAATTATTAATATTTCTTTTTTTCTTTTTTGTAGAAATAAAACTTTCAGATTTAATTTGTAAAAAATGTATAATGATATCAAATCGTTAGGTTTTAAAATTTATTTCACTTTTTTATATCTATATATCTTTAAAAAGAAGTTTTATTAATAAGAATAATAATAATTTTTTTAATTGATATTTACATAAATAAAAAAATATATAATTTCAATTAAAATCAAATAGCAAAATTATATTTTTATGAAATTAATAGATTAAATTAATATTAAATAAAATAATATAAATATCTAGATTATAAATTAGATGATTTTAATCTTTTAAAAAAATTAAAATGTTTTTGAAACATAAAATTATTTAAATATTTGATTAATCTTTCAAAAAAAATTAAAAATTATTTAAAAAGATTATAATAATTGATAAAAATATTTAAATATTTGATTATTAATTCATTTAATCACAATATTTATTAAAAATGAAATAATTATTAATTTTCTTAAAAGAGAAATTCATTGTTTACTAAATGCATATTTGATCATTAAATTTTAATCAATGTAAATTAATGCATTTGATATAAACTATTTTTATATTATAAAAAATATTAAAATAATTTTTTATAAATATCATAATAATATAAATTTTTTTAAAAAAAACTCTTTTTTTCTTTTGCTTTATATCTCAACTTTTTAAATTCTTAATGTGTATTTGCATTACTTAAACTTTCTAAACTTTTCATTTTTTTATTTTTAAAATATTTTTCTTAGCGTTAGTATTACAATTATTATAAATTAACTATTTAAATAATAATATCTTCAACTTATAATTTATTAAGTTTAGAATTAGAATAATATAAAAAAAAATGAGCTTATATTAAATACAATTGCTATTTTTTTAATAATTCAGAAATTGATTTATTGAAATTCAAAAAATCAAAATGATCTATATAAATATTATAAAATATAGGTTTAAATATTTTATTTATTAATATTTTGAAGTACATAATTTAGAAAATTAAACTTAAATTATTTTTAAAGATTTAATTTATATTTTTTGAAATAATAAATAAAAAAGTTAAAAAAGAAAATAAATTAAAAATAAATTATACTATAGTTTATAAAAAAATAATATTATCTAGCAAAAATTTAAATTATAAATATCTTTTATTTTTAGTTTTTATATGATAATAAAAATTGATTCATTTTAATTATTAATTAATCAAATTTCATTTTGTATGCAATTAATAAAAAAATATATTTGTGTAAATGTAATAAATAAATATAATAATATTTTAAGTATGTATGCATTTTTTTTTACTATTTTAACAAAAGATTGCATAAAATTACAATCATTAAAATATGATAATTATTAAATAAAATATATATAAAAAGTGTTATCATAATAAAGAATTCATAAACTAATATTTTTTTTTACGTTTAATACTTTAAATATTAATAAAAAAATGATATTGTATCTATATATTTTATTAAATAGGATTTTCAACTAAAGAGATTGTAGCTTAAAAAGGTGTTAATAAATCATCAGTTATATGAATATATAAAAAATTTAATAAAACTGAAAATTTTGATGATCAACCTAAATCTGATCACCCAAAATCCTTGAGTGAAAGATATAAATGAAACTCTTGTATTATATTTGTTTAAAGATATTCTACAGCTATTAAAGTATAATCCAAGTTTAGAATTGATGAAAGAATTATTATTTTAGCTATAACTATATGTAGAATATTTAAAAAAGATGAATTAGTTACTAAATTAAAAAGAAAAAGCCTTATTTAAAAAAATTTCATAGAAAAATAATGATTAAAATAAGTTAAAAAATATAAAAATTGGACTATTAAAGATTAATAAAAAGTTATTTAGTCAGATGAAAATAAATTTCTTAATTTAATTTTAATAAGTAGCATTATTATTAGAAAAAACTAACAAAATATTTAAAAGATCAATATGTTATTCTAATAATTAATTTGGTAGAGGTGAAGTAATGATCTGAAGCTGCTTTATAACTAATAGAATTGCTAACAAAAAATGATAAGTGAAGAAATTATATAGGTATAAACAACCCAAAAAAACTATTAAAATAATAAGATTATATATTATAGAATTAGAATATTTTAGTTTTGAATGAAAATTTTTTTTTAAATTAATAAATAATAAATTAGTGAATTTTATAATATTATAAATTTACAAATATTTTATTAATACTAATAAATAATCAGTTTTACCAAAATATGATTATCTTATAAAAAATTTTTTGTAACTTAAAATTTCATATAAAATTTTAAATGATCAAAAGAATGTTTTAATTTCTATATAGGGTGATTTATGATAGTTAGTGATATTTTAATCATTTTCAGTTATTAAAGAATCATTTATTAGAAATCCAGTATGTAGTTATCAATATAGATCATTTATGATTTTATAAAATTAATTAATCATAAAAAATTTTCCTTTCTTAGTTTAAAATAGTTTCTTATATAAAAGATCACCTTATCTAATAATATGATTTTTTTCAAACTAAAATTTAAGAAGATAAAACAGAAACATTAAAAATTATTACAATACTTCTTTTTATATTAACAATTTAACTTATTACAATTTATATAAATTTTTTAAATTTTTCAACAAGAAAAACCAGTATTTTCTTTTATGGAAAATCAATTACAAATCTTTTGATATATATCTAAAGTAATATGATTACAACAAATTTTGATTCTGACTTGGATTCAACATTATTAATCATTATTTTCAACCAAATGATTTTATTTAACTTTCAAGGAGCATTTATAGTAGCACATAAAAGTTTGCAATGCATATTCCTTTTCATCTTAGACGTCCACTTTTTCACGCATGTCAAGTTTTTAATCCCAAATTTATTCATTTTGGTGAAATAACATGATTAATCAATATAGAATTATTACAGAATTAGATAATCCAGTTAATATTTTATTAGATAAATGGGTAATTTATTGTGAACATATTTTAAGTATGGTTAAACGATTACCCCTTTATCTCAAATAGCATTAGATTACATTTGGTTCCCAATTTTTTCTTGTAGTGTAGAACGAAGTTTTTCTAAATATAATTCAATTTTAGATGATAATCGACAAAATTTATCTTTACGTAGTTTAAATATGCTTTATTTTAATGGTAATTAATTTCTATATTATAAAAATAATAAAGCAGAATTTTATAGAATATATAAAAATTTATTAAAAATTAATACGCAGTATGTTTGCAGAATTATAAACGGAAATAGAATTATGTCACCGCAAAAAATCATTGTCCCTAGACAAAGTGATCGATAAATGATCACCGCGACTATGTCCGCTATGCTTATTAAACCAGTCTACCCTAATTGTATTTCAATAAATATTTTAAACAATATCAAGACGCGATTTTATTTTTTATTTTCAAGGTGTAATTTGACAATTTGATCAAAGAAAGAATCTTAAATAAAGTTGTTCAAGTAATTTATGTATATTAATTTTTATGGACTAGCTTTTCTTTTTTTGATACTAAAGCGCGTTTTTTTAATAAAAATTTCATATTTTATATCAATTAAAATAAATGTATATAAACATAAATACCATTTATTCTTTAATGTTTATAAATACATAACTGATAAAGATATTTTCTTCAATATATTCACATTTTCCAAGATAATGTATATTACATAAAACAATTTTCATCCAATCAAATTCGTCCCAGAAATACATTAGGGTTTGCTTGCCTGCATTTTAGTGGAACACAAGAAAGGGGCTCCATGTTTATCTTTTTAAAGAACAAAGAAAAAGAATCAACATTATACACATTGTTTTCTTAAAAACGAGTTCTTAAAAAATTCTCATGATCATTAACGTTCGATTTTTTTTCTTTGTGAAAATAATTTTTTTGGGGGGGGGAATATCACATGCACAAATTAAAATTTTCACATCTAATCGATCGTTTTTTTAGAGAATAAGTTCAAAACGATATTTAAGTAAATTGTGTACAATGCCACGCCATACAACTCGTGACAAAATCAGGTTTTATGAACTTTTTTCGGATGGTGCATGTGTAATATAAAACCATACCCGATTTTTTTTTTTACAAAAAAAAAAAAAAAAAAAATTCAAAATATTTCCAAAAAAAATTTCAAAAAAATTCATATAATTCAAAAATTTCAAAAAAAAACCAAAAAATAATTCTCGAACAACTCTATTAAATAAAAATGACTCTCAATACCTCAAAAAATATTACGTCTATCCAAAAATTGCAACAGCATACAAAGCTAAACTTGGATATTTTCGGAAATATTAATTTTCTCGCTCAGCAGAATCTAAATAAACGAATACCAGTTCAACCTAAAGAACAGTATTTAAAGAAAGCCTGGAATACTTTTGGAGAGACGTCCTCCAAATTTAAAGCTCCCGTGGGCTTATTTGATTACATCACAAAATAATTTAAAACATTTACATAGTTATCAAGAATTAGAAACTATGTAGTCGTGATCCTCTTTACATTAATAATTATTAGAATAATGTTCTTGATAATGATTATAAATTTTGTTGTCACCTAGCAACATATTCTTATTTTGTAATTTTTTCTTGAAAATAAAATATACACGTTTATGAAATTAGTTGTTTACATACGTAACCATTGATGCATGCATATTTGTTTGACAAAAAATCTTTTTGATGAATTTATTTTGGTATAGGTTTTGTATTGATTACGTTATTATAATGAGTTTTATGAGTTTTATAAATTAATTACAGTCGACCCCCTATATAGTCACCTCTTATATAGTCACCCTTCCCTTATAAGCACATTTTGTTAGGTCAAAGCTAATAATAAACTTATTAAAAATCCTCTTCTATAGTCACATTAAATAACTTTTTATAATCAAACCAAATTTTTTTGGTCCGAGGGGTGTGACTATATAGGAGGTCGATATTGTGACAATTAGCATTATTCTCACAAAAAAAAAAATTTCTCTTTTCCTAGAATACCGAGTAAAATGAAGAACGGTCGGGATGTGACATAATGTGACAAATTTCCTAACCCTCTTAATTAATCCTAATTCTATCTATAATTCTAATAATAAATACCCAGAAAAACAAATCCGGTTACCATCTTTTTTCAGCCTAATAGCCTTAATCTCAGAATAATAATATAAAAAAGGACATGTAATTGCTAAACTTTTAATTAAACAAAATATGATTTAATATATTATTATATTATTAATTTAATATATATAACTTGATAAATTCAATATTTATTTATTTTATAACATAATTTATATAAAATTTGGATTTCTTTATATATTCTTATATTCTATTTTTTTTTATTTATTTAAATTATAAATTAATACTTCTATTTTAATATTAAATAATATATAGAAAAAAAATATTAATTTAATAAAATAAGCCTTTTTAAACAAAAAATTTATTTATTAATATAAATATATAAGTAATTTTAATAATAATATAATATACAACCAATTTTATTTTATATATATATTATTTTATTTTAACTATATATATATTTTTATTAAAATTTATTTAATTATTTAAAAAAATTTTATTTTTAAATTAGTGTATGATCAACATTAATTAGCAAATGTATAAAAAAAAATATTTTGATTTTTATAAAAATAAAATATTAAAATAAAAATATAAAATATTATTTAATTTATTAAATAATAAATATTATATTAATATAATTAAATTAGTATTTTTATTATCAAATTATATTTATTAATAGATATTTTATATATTATATCAAATATTAAAAAAGAATTTTTAATAATCACAGATATAACTAATTTTATCTATTATAATTAAATATTAATTATTTAAAAACTTCTAACTAATTATTTAATTAATTAATCAATAATTAATTAATTAAACTTATTATAATTTGTAAACTAAAAATTCTTTATATTAAAATTAATAATAATTTATTATATACAGTCGTCTCCTTCTATAGTCACCCCCGATATAAACACCCTCTCCTTTAAAGCACTTTTTATTTAGTCCTGATCTTTTTAAATAGAAATACCCTCTTTATAATCATAGGCATATTATAAAATATAATCACACC